GACTCTGGCACCTTGATTTCCGAATGACATGCAAAATTTGCTTTCATCCAAAAAAAGTACTTTGGACCACTGAGCAACAGTCCAGTGCTGCTTCTCTGTAGCCCAGGTCAGGCGCTTCTGCCGCTGTTTCTGGTTCAAGAGTGGCTTGACCTGGGGAATGCGGCACCTGTAGCCCATTTCCTGCACACGCCTGTGCACGGTGGCTCTGGATGTTTCTACTCCAGACTCAGTCCACTGCTTCCGCAGGTCCCCCAAGGTCTGGAAATCGGCCCTTCTCCACAATCCTCCTCAGGGTCCGGTCACCTCTTCTCGTTGTGCAGCGTTTTCTGCCACACTTTTCCCTTCCCACAGACTTCCCACTAAGGTGCCTTGATACAGCACTCTGGGAACAGCCTATTCGTTCAGCAATTTCTTTCTGTGTCTTACCCTCTTGCTTGAGGGTGTCAATGATGGCCTTCTGGACAGCAGTCAGGTTGGCAGTCTTACCCATGATTGCGGTTTTGAGTAATGAACAAGGCTGGGAGTTTTTAAAAGCCTCAGGAATCTTTTGCAGGTGTTTAGAGTTACGTCGTTGATTCAGATGGTTAGGTTAATAGCTTGTTTAGAGAACCTTTTCATGATATGCTAATTTTTTGGGACATGCATTTTGTGTTTTCATGAGCTGTATGCCATAATCATCAGTATTAAAACAATTAAAGACCTGAAATATTTCAGTTGGTGTGCAATGAATCTGAAATATATGAAAGTTTCATTTTTATCATTACATTATGGAAAATAATGACCTTTATCACAATATGCTAATTTTTTGAGAAGGACCTGTACTGAGCTAAAATAGTCCTTTTTAAAATTGCTTTCCCAAGTGGAATCATTTTAAGCTTGACCTCGCGGTAAGTCAAAAACCAAAGGGAACCCCAAAATTATTTAATTTTGTATACTAACACAGTATTTTACTGTGCAAATATGCAGATCAGATTGGGTGGGAGGTTTCTTTAGTACTTGCACCAGATTTAATGTTCAAATGATGCAGATGGCATCAAACTTGTAATACTACCTATTTTATCCCTTTGAACTGGCATTTCAGAAACGTTGGGACAGGACCATATTTCTCTCTGTGATGCATCTCATCTTCTTTTAACATCAGTAAACATCTAGAACTAAGAAGACCAGCTGCTGGAGTCACTGGAAAGGTTGTCCCAGTCTTCTCCCAGTCAAATGTGCCCCCATACCATCAGAGAAGCAGGCTTTTGAACGGTGAGCTGACGACTGGTCCAATAGTCCCTTTCTTGACGTTCATGGTTTGCAAAAAATTGTTTTTTTTTTCTGAATGATGTTTACATACGACTATTTGGCACAAATCAGACCCGTTTTAATGCAATTCCACCTGAAGATCATGGACATTTAATACTGTCTAGTCATTTGAGCTGACAGGTTTCTCCAGATTCTTGAACTCTTGTTGACATTATAAGCTGTTTATATATTCATCCATCCATTCTCTTTACCCGTTCTTCCTTTTCGGGTCGCGGGGGTCCAACTGCGCCACCGTGCTGCAGTGTTTATACTATACTTGTAATGGGATATTACACTGCCTGGACCAAAAAAAAGTCGCCAACACACTAATATTTTGTTGGACCGCCTTTAGCTTTGATTACAGCATCCATTCACTGTGGCATTGTTTTGATAAGGTTCTGCAATGTCACAAGATCTATTTCCATCCAGTGTTGCATTAATTTTTCACCAGTATCTTTCACTGTTGACGAGGCACTAGTCTTGATGGGTGCATCACTTCACCTGCCTCTCTTCTAACTCTGATGCACCCATCACTCTGGAACAGGGTAAACTTGGACTCATCAGACCACATGACCTTCTTCCATTGCTCCAGAGTCCAATCTTTATGCTCCCTAGTAAACTGAAGCCTTTTTTTTCCAGTTAGCTTCACTGGTTAGTGGTTTTCTTAAGGCTACACAGCTGTTCAGTTCCAGTCCTTTGAGTTCCCTTCACTTTGTGTGTGGAAATGCTCTTACTTTCACTATTAAACATAGCCCTGAGAGCTACTGTTGTTTTTCTTTGAGTTGATTTCACCAAACGTTTAAGTGATCGCTGATCACGATCAGTCAGGATTTATTTTCCGGCGACATTTTTTTCCTCGAAGACGATGGGTCCCCACCAGCCTTCCAGTTTTTAATAATGCGTTGGACAGTTCTTAACACAATTTTAGTAGTTTCTGCAATCTCCTTAGATCAACAAAGTCCATGCTCAATAATCCAGGTATACAATCCAACATTTTTCAGTCAGGTCTGGACAGTTTCTTTTTTTGTGCTGAAACGTGGAGGAGGGGGCGTGACAAAGAGTCCATCTTAGCACCAACATAACTGGTTTGTTCCACTTTGGAGTAAGCAGTTGGGGGAAGAACCAGTTTTATGCTGTGTGTTTCCTTGACTGATGAAGCCTTCTGGATCGAAGGCGAAATGTTTCAGCACAAAAAAAGAAACTGTCCAGATGACCTGACTGAAAAATGTTGGAATCTCCTCAGATGTTTTCTCTGCTTGATGCCAAAGGTTTGACTCTTCTCAAACAGACCCGACATCTTTTCCACGACCATGTGATGTGTCTTTCAACATGGTTGTTTAAGAAATGAGAAGCAACTCATTGCACCAGTTGGGCTTAAATAACTTGTTGTAGCTGAAACATAATCACCCATGCAGTAATTATTCAATAGGAGGCTCGTACCTATTTGCTTAGTTTAATCCAGGTGGTGACTTTTTTATTGGCCAGGCAGTGTACAAGTATTACGGGGTACACGGTAGTGGGTGCTCCGTGAGTATGGGATTGGGAGCCCATTGTTACGGGCTGTTCGGTCCCTGTACAAGCAGTGCAAGAGTTTGGTTCGCATTGCCGGTAGTAAGTCGGACCCCTTCAGGGTGGGAGTTGGACTTTGCCAGGGCTGCCCGTTCACCAATTGTGTTTATAACTTTTATGGACAGAATTTCTTGGTGCAGTCAGGGGGCGGAGGGAGTCTGGTTTGGTGGCCTCATGATTCCATCTCTGCTCTTTGCAGATGATGTGATCCTGTTGGCGTCATCATGCTGTGATCTTCGGCTTTCACTGAAGCGGTTTGCAGCAGAGTGTGAAAAGAATGGGATGAGAATCAGCACCTCCAAATCTGACGCCATGGTCTTCAACCAGAAAAAGGGTGGATTGTTCTTTTCAGGTCGAGGTTCTGGCTCAGGTGGAGGAGTTCAAGTATCTCGAGGTTTTATTCACAAGTGAGGGAAGAATGGAGTGCGAGACTGACAGACGGATTGGTGCAGCATCTACAATATTGTAGACTGTGTGCCGGTCTATTGTGGTGGAAGGAACTGAGCTGTAAGGCAAAGCTCTCCGTTTACTAGTCAGTCTACGTTCCTACCCTCACCTATGGTCATGAACTCTGGGTAGTGACCACAAGAATGAGATCGTAGATACAGGAAGTTAAATTGAGTTCCCTCTGCAGGGTAGCTGGACTCTCCCTTAGAGATAGGGTGAGAAGTTCAGTTATCTGGGAGAGACTCAGAGTAGAACCGCTGCTCCTCCACATCGAGATGAGCCAGTTGAGGTGGTTTGGGCATCTGGTAAGGATGACCCCTGAGCGCCTCCCTAGGGAGCTGCTTCGGGCATGTCCGACTGGGAGGAGACCCAGGGGAAGACCCAGGACACGTTGGAGAGACTGTCTCTCGATTGGCCTGGGAACACCTTGGAATCCTCCCAGTAGAGCTGGAAGAGGTGGCTGTGGAAAGAGACGTCTGGACCTCCCTGCTCAAGCTGCTGCCCCCGAGACCGGACTTCAGAATAAGCAGAAGATAAAGGATGAATGGATGGATGGATGGGATATTCATCATATTCCCATTTTTTATTGAGAAATATTATTCCAAAATTGTTCCACTTTTTTGTTGTTTTTTTCAGAGTAGTAAACCTCTGCCCATCTTTACTTTTGAGAGATTCAAACAGTTTTACTGTCGTCATCAGCAAAACATGCTACAAAACTGAAGCTGAACACCTACCATTGAAAACACCATGAAAAGCTTCTGTAAAATGCTCTTCCAGCGTTTCTTACTTTTACCACATTATGCAGCCATATTTTGGAGATACTGCTATCAAATTTAAAATTACCCCCGTTTCTTTTCTGAAAATTATCAAATTTCTTGAATACTTGATAGATTTACTGTTTCATTGTAAAAAAAAAAAAAGGTTTATGAGATTTATTGCATTTAGTTTTTATTAGCATTTTACACAATGTCACAACTTTTTTTGGAATTAGGGTTGTATTTGTTAAAACGGAACTTCAAACTAAATCTAGAGTAAACAGTGAGTAGATTACGCCTTTCATTTTTGTCACTGGCCTTACTGGTGTGAATGGTGCTTTAATATTTGGCCTCAGTTCGTCGCATTTAAGAAAGTGTGACTATACCAAAAAAAAACCAACAGGTGAGGACTGTAAGGAATCACCACTGTTGTTACTACAGTTCATTCTTGTTTTTATAACACTTCTAAATATGTAGCTTTTTCCCTCCATCATAAAGAGTTAAAGCCAGTAACAAGTTGTTTTAAGCAGAAGCTTTCAGACAAAGTCCAGAGTGTCTCCTGCTTTCCCTCCTGATGTGACCATACTTTGTACAATTTCTTTGTGTGTCCAATATGTTTTCTGCCAAAGTAAACCAAATATATTATAAATCTATAGCATAAAAGAGCTGAAAGCAGCATAAAGTTGAGGTTTATTTTACATAGAGCACATTTTTAATGAACTGGGCCCAAAAACGAGCTGCAAACACAGCCCTGCATTGGAAGCAATGTTGAAAAATGCTGAACAGATCCAATCAGGCTTCAGCAGCTGCAGTATTGATCTCCATAAACCACGTACATGCACACATCATGCTGCAGTCCACCCAATAATTGGAAATGACACCGTCTTTAATTATTGCAATAAATTACTTTAATGCAAGACTCATCCAAAGCAAAAAGGCATTCTACGAGTAATGTGGGTTTTTTTCCAGTTCAGCCATTACAACTTGTGTCATATATTCAGATTTATTTCCAGAATTTATAATAAAAAAAAAATGTGTAGAACAATTTTTCATATCAATGTAAGCAATAAAATAAATTAAAAAATATATATTGCAGCCATTAAATGTTGAAAGTAATTAAACATAAATCACTGTCGTCTTTAAAAACTTCTGTTTTCATTTGATTCCTTCCAAAGACACAGATCTAAGATCAGCTCGCGGGTCTTGGAGCACTTTGGGAGCAGAGGCCAGAATGAAGGATAGTCCTTAGGCATTGTGGGTAAAAGAACTGAAGACGTTTAAAGGCAGAAGGGGGTGAAGGAAATGAGAAAACAGGCAGGCAGGAGTGATATCTTACAGAGGTAATCATTGTAAAGTGCCAAAGAGCATTGCACTAGACAAGCCTGAGATCCACATACACTGTACTACAGTATGCATGATTGTTTATTTATCTTGGAGTGTGTGTGTGGTTATGTGTATGTACCTAACTTTGGACATAAGGCCTGAGATTCATCTGTGTAGAAGCTGAGTTTCAGTGTAACCTATGTACAAATGAATCAGTGTTGAGAGCTTAACGTCAGGTGAAGAGCATTCCATGTGGGACCGAGGCTTTCATTTATAGACAAGTAAAGAAAACAGAGGGAGAGCGGTAGAACGGAGCGGGGCTTAAGGCAGATAGAGGGGAAAGGTGGCGTGGACTGCAGAGAGACGGGGGTCGAGAGGGTAACAGGGCCAAACCGTTGAGGAACAGCGTTATGTCAGCATGTCCCAGAGACAGCAGCAACACAGGGCTGTCCAGCAGGCTGTCAGGCACGTGTCTCCTGTGTCGTCCCGTCTCCTGTCTTCCACCACATACACTGTAAAAAAAAAAAGAAGAAGAAATAACGAGTGTGAAAAGGGTTAGAAAAGACGAGCAGGCAAAATGAAAGCAATTAAGTGGTTTCTTGTCCAAAACTGCATAAAACTGGAGATAATTCTTGGAATTACTTCGTTAAGTCTCCAGCGGTGAGTTCAAGGGTAACCAAGGCTGATATGATTTCCTCTAATTACGTTCCTCATAGGAGGCACGTCTCCATGGTGATGTCATAGCAGCCACGAGCCATGATCAGATAGCAAAGTACCCTCAGTGCTGCTGCCTTACTGGCCACATCAGAGACGTTCAGCACAACATACCACATAGTTTCCTTTTCTTAATGTGCATCAGTGGCTTTAATTCTGTTTTAATGGTTTTATATATATATATATAATATATATATATATATATATATATATATATATGATTAGAAACAGTAAGAATTTGTGTTTGCATGCATGAGGTTTGAGTTCTCGCCTGAGGACACAAACGAGTCAAACAGAAAAGACCTGAATAAAAACATCTCCCCTTCCTTGTGTGTGATTAATGATTTATGTGGAAGCAAACACTCGTCCAGCTTTTAACAGCTGGTACCGTCTGACACGCTGCTTTAAGTGGCCTGCTTCCAGTCAAAAGGTAAAGCCAGGTTCTGATAATGATATCACGATCATGTGATTAGTGTTCTCGATCAAAGTCTCACAGCAGAAAGCTGGAAGGATGATTAATTTGACGGACCAGCAGAGCAGATCTTGGGTTAAATACAGGAGCAGAAACATCTCACCGCTTTCTAAAACATTGATGCTAACGTCTGGTCGTTTACTGGATGCTCGTTTGAGACGTGCTGTCACGATATCACCTTAAATTTCAGATCCAACTTGATTTTACACTAAAGAATCTTTACCATGGCTGCAAAGGAGCAAACGATTTCTGGAAGGGAATTACTGAATGTTCGGAGTAATTCCAACAAATGATCATATTCGAATAAAAAAATCAATTGTCATTTTATCTACGTAAAAACTAATTTTACTCTGCTAATTTTAACTTTTAAATTCATTTCATTTTACTAAAAAAAACTATGAACAAAACTTTTTTCAAGAAGTACTTTTGATCTTCAGGTGACTCGGTTGATCATTTTTGCTCATTGCATGGTACAGCGATGACATTTGATTGTTTTAATTCAAGATTACACCAAAATACATTTTGCCAACTTTATTTAAAATCCCTGATGAGGGCCATCATTCAAAAATTCAGCCTTCAACATTATCCCCATAAATTCCTGTTAATTCCTATAAAAGTTTATTTTGCATGGAAACTTTCCGACTTTGAACTTTCCCCAGAGTTTGCAACTTTATATTGAATTCCTTGCTTATATCATGTTACAGGTCAGAATGAAGCTAAAACTATTATTTGACAGATTTTATTTTGGTAAATAATAAATGGCTTTTTTTGCGAATATGATATAGCGTCTTGAGTTCCTATGACATCACAGCGACTAGTCGACTTTTATCATGTTGAGGTCGACTTTAAAAAACAAAGTCGTGCAACCCCTACCTGATACATGACAAAACTATAAACACCTAATAAACTAGCTTTGAATTGTTTCAACAATTTTACATAAAAGTTAGAAAACAATTTTGTTCTAGTATAGACAATTTTGCTGGAGTTTATAGATCTAAGGAGCTGGATTAAAAAAAACTGTTAATGCTTTTTATTTTCACCATTTAAATTGCACTCATAAAACCAGCTGATATAAATGGCTCTGAAAACCTACAGTCTTGTCTCGAGGCTGGACTAATTCCTTTACGTTTTATTCAGATGAAGCAGGGTTTTTTTTTCTTGGCTGCTTTTTAACTTCTTTTCAGTCCTGACCTTGTACCTGACCATTGTGAAGAACAAGTGTTGCTTGTAAAACAACTTAACGTTGACCTTTTAATCATTCAAGTGTAAAATGAAAAAGACCTACTTGAAATAATAAGGCTGTGCTGAGTCTATACAGAAAAAATACAGAAAAAATCTGCTTTAGTGCAGAGAAGCATTTTGGTACAAAAATTATAAATATAAAACTTTTGGTCTAATTGTTACTGTAAAAAAAAAAAAAAGACAGGTGGACAGGTGTCAACTATATTGTCCCCCCATAAAAAAGGTGATTCCCACAAAGCTAGCTTGATTAAAATTAGTTATTTGCTAAGTTGGCTGCTATATGTGGATTGAACATGTCAGTGGTTAAGATGGGGGATTTTAATACTCCGAAACTGGTTAATTAGATCAGTGATTTTCAAAGTGGGGGCTGCGGCCCACTAGCAGCGCCTCAGAAAGCTGGAGAGAAGAAAAAAAAAGCTAAAAATTTATATATTTATATACACACACAAATTACTGTAATAAAATGGGATAAACACGCTTGAGAGAGGTTAGATTTCGTTTGTTCTGGTCAAAAGTTTGTTGAAAGGTTGTTGTTGTTTTTTTCATATAGATTACAGTGTTTAAAACATGTTAGTTAATAACATTTTTATGCTCAGCAGCTGTAATAATTAACTGAATATAGTGAATAAAAATTAAAACATTCTAAAAGTTTATGTTTCTTTACATTTTTGTAGAATTGCTTGTGGGTTTGCGAGAGGGCCTCGGCCAGAAGGTAATGCTGTTTGGGGGGCCATGGCTAGGCCTGTCACGATAACAAATTTTGCTGAGCGATTAATTATCTCAGAAATTATTGCGATAAACGATAATATTGTTTGAAATTTGACAATAATTAATTATTGTCAAATTAAAGAAGAAATGTTGGTTAATTTGTTTTAAGTGTAGTGCCTTTTTTGACCACCAGATGGCAATATAAGACTGTTTGAACCGAAGGATGGATAGTGAGGGAGTGAGCAGCGTGTCTCTAAGAAAAATGGGAAGGAGGCCCCTTGACGTGACATGGGCTGTCAATTTTTTTCGGTTCTCAAAATGATGGACACTCGGTGTAGTTTGAGCTCTTTAGCATAGCATTTTTCACACAAAGCTTTTAATAAAAAATATCAGTAAACAAGTTCTCAGCTTCTTTTTGCAAAGAAAAACAACATTTTACACAATGGCATGGGTTTCAACCGTGAATTTTGGAGCTTCGACAAGACGTAGGTTTTTTTCCCAAGGTTGGTCTGTTAGCTTAGCTCGTAGCTTAGCTGATCAGCTAAGCTGCTTTTAATGATCCAAAAACGAGATTTTGAACAGTTAAAACAGATTTTAAAGAAAAAAGAGAAAGGGATGGGTCAGTGAAGAGCACCGGAGTTGAACCTTTTGTCACCCAGTGTCTTCAAAGAATGGACAGTAGTTATGCCTTACGCTCTAAGGACTGTTTGCATCTTCATGTTCCTCGTGTGGGAACAGAAAAGGTCAAGAAAGCTTTTAGCTTTTCTGCCCCCTCAGCTTAGAATGCCTTGCAAGCTGAATTAAAACTGACAGAACTTGTTACTTTTAGTGCTTTTTGCAAACTTTTAAAAAACCGACAAAGGATATCTTGTCAACAGTGCCTGTGTTTTAGATCTTAAATTGTTATTGTTTTAAATAATTATTGCCATTTACTGTTATACTGTATGTTTTATATTTTTATATATTTCTGAAGTCTTCATAATCTTGCTCCTTGTTTTGTTTTTTATGACGTGTGCTGCTGCTGCCTGTTCTTGGCCAGGTCACCCTTGTGAAAGAGTTCTTGATCTCAATGAGTTTTTTATCTGGTTAAATAAAGGTGTAATAAAAATAATTCAGTAGAAAGAGAGACAAGAAGAAATGATAAAGCTGATAAATGAAAATGAGGTTGATAATTTTCATTTATTATGTAATTAACTGATTTATTGTTTATTGTGACAGGCTTAGCCATACCATAGAAAAGTTTGGGAGCCCCTGAATAAGATGAAGCACCTGAAAAAGTAAATCTAAAAAGCTACTAATGGAAAATTATTATTTAAAAAAAAGACCTTCAGACATCCAACAGAGCTGTAGTTCAAGACCACTTTTAAACATATATGGAAGTTTGGACGTTTGCAAAAACTTTTAAGACTCACTTCACAAACAGTCAAGAGGAGACAACCATAGGAACCATTTACCTAATTTAGCATTGGGATTAACTGCACAAATATTCCAGGAAACCATATCCTTTTTACATTAGTTACCACTGACATGCAAATTATTTAAGAATGTATAAAAACACAAGGTCAATCTGGTGAATGTGTGTATGGTAATAGGTGTCATTTCCAATACATCTACAAGGTTTCTGCTAGATTTACGGAGTTAAAACTTTTTAAAGACCTTATGGTCCAAATTTAGAGGACTTACATAAACAGCGAAAAATGTGTCATTATATAATGTCTTTCAAATTAACAAATCTTATTGCCTTTCATTCAAATTCAGTCCAAATTAAAATGTAATTGTATTGTATTAAATCGTTCAAAAAGAACAATACAGACCCTTTCCAAAAAATTTGCATATCATGGAAAAGTTGTTTAAACTTCCATAATTCCATTCAAAAAGTTATTTTTTAATAGATGAAAGATTCAGGGGCCACAATTTAAACAATTTTAAGTATTTATCTGTTTATTTTTACATAATTTGGGCTTCCAGCTCATGAAACCCACGAAAACAGAATTTCAAAAAATTAGAATACTGTGGAGAAATCAGCCCAAATTTTGCAGGGCATAAATGTTTTAAACTGACTGTGACACACTAATCATCTACTAAACTCAAAGCACCTGCACAGGTTTCCCCAGGTGTCATTAAATTGCTTCAGTTTGGTTCAATTGTCTCAGTTCCGTTCAATATGGGGAAGACTGCAGACATAAGAACTGACCAGAAGACCATCATTGATACCCTCCATAGGATGGGTAAGCCACAAAAGTTCATAGCTCAGGAGGCTGGCTGTTCACAGAGTGCTGTGTCCAAGCACATCAATGGAAAGTCTAGTGGAAGGGCAAAATGTGGCAGGAGAAGATGCACCAGCAAAAGAGATGACCGTGGGCTTCAGTGGATTAT